GGGCCAAGGAATTTAGAGTATAGGGGCTTATGAGTTTAGGATTTCAAAATTTAGGGTTTAGGCCTGAGGGATTTAGCGCATACGGTGTAGGGTGTTTAGGGCTTCGGGTATAGGCGTTTAGGGTTGAGGGCTTAGGGTTTAGGCTTTTCAGGCTTCGCGCGTACGGATTCAGATGTTTCAGATGTGTAAAATGTTTTTGAAACTTGGGTTTTAGGGCGTCAAATTCTTCAGAGGATGCTTTTTTGCAGTTGGGCCAAGTTTTGGCCTTCCTTTTCTGTTCAATACGGTGTATAGAGACGAGGGATGACATAGCGTTCAGGATGGTTTTCAATTGTGAGGCCGTGCAAGACTAATCCTTCCGATTAGAAACTGCTAGAGCCAAAGCCCGGATATAAGTCCTCACCCTATTTGTATTTGGTAGTTTCCCAAAATTAAGGGATTTTTTTGAGGGTCCCAATAATAAGGATTATAGTAGTTTGGGATCCCAAAATAAGAGGTACCTTTTTAGGGGTCCCAATACTAAGCATTCTAGTTTATTTGGGGTCTATATTGGGGGGTCCCCTTATTTTGGGAAACTACCATCCTTGGGGAGTACAGTCTGCCTGTTATATGTTACCCAAATGGGTCCGAGGCCTTCAGGGAACAGTTGCTTAGGGTTTAGGGTTTAGGGTTTTAGGGTTTAGGCCCTAAACCCTAAACCTAAACCCTAAACCCTAAAGGGTTATGATGCTCTATGGGTGTTCTGTTTGGAGACGTTTCAGGATTCAGCTTGAAGGTGATAAGGGGGTTTAGGGTTTAGGGTTTAGGGGGTTCATGGGCTCCTATTTGCTTTTGGCTTCTGAGGTTTCTTGGTAAAAAGGAGTTTTTTAATTCTCTACGTACTGAAGCGAACTACATGGAAGGGTCTGGGCTTAAGGGCTCGTAGCAGTTCTTTGCGGCTCAAAGTTTCAGTGTGTGCGGATGTTCAAACCGCCTGGTCAGGGCTAGGGTCTTGAGAATTTCCTTCTTTCAAAACCTGAATGCTTTGATGCGTGCGGCAAAACCGAATGCACAAAAGCATGAAGATCTAAGATCTCTGACGAGAACAAGGCTCGACCTGAGAATGCGGGTAGCAGTGGGCACTATATGGCACGAGGACACCGAATGAAAACAAGATAGGACACCAGACACGCCGAGACAACCAGGTACGAACAAGAAACGACAAGACCAGGCAGGGCACACGACACTCAGAAAGCCCAATATCCCCAACTAACTAAGTACATTACCCTACACCCTTAAACCATATTAGGGATCCTAGTATCATTTAGAGTATATGCTCGCTAATAAAGGGACATTGGGTTTTCTGGGCACTTGCAACAAATGCTATGCAGGCCTGCTCCATACTTGTTTAGGGTTCAGGGTTTAGGGTTTGCATGTCAGCAGATTCCTTGGGCAAAAGCGCAGCTCAAAACAAAAAGACTAGATCACGAAATGATTCGGTGGTTTTCCAGAATTAGGGGTGCCATTTTGGGTGCCCAAAAATCCGGATTATAATACTCTTGGGGTCTGTATTGAGGTCCCCTTATTTGGGGAAACTACTACATCATGCCATTATTGAAACAAGGGAATATGTTTTGGGGGTTGGGGGGCGTTACTGCGAGGATTCCAAGGTCGGGTTATGTCTCAGAGACGCCCCCATTGACTACCTAAAGCCCCAAATGTTTGGGCACTTGGACCATTACAGGACGGTTATCAGCAGTCGAGATTCGTAGGTGCATCTAAACTAATCGCAATCGCTAAGGTTCCGGTCAATCTACTCTAAAAGAGTTCCGCTCTGCTTCACTGATTTCCCAGCAGTGAAAGTTGCGGCTGGCTGCCCCAGGAAACAACAGAAGCGGCGGCTGATCCTGGACACTAGCTAGACGCAGTACGGACATCTACACCCTTCCCACACGTCAATGCGAGACCACGTCAGTAAACTAAGTCAGCTCTGCCGCCCCTGAGACGTCTCTGTCAGATCCTTGCAAAAAAAGGCTTTTAAGCGGAGTAACGAATCATACAAATCTGGGTAGGTATAGTAGGAAACACTTCTGGCACTTATCATGGTAATACCAGGGATCACAAGATGTTGCCTCGTCGCAACCTTTTTTTCCCCACCTAGTAGATCTTAAGCCTAAACCCTAAACACCAAACCGCCACTTGCAAATGCCAGTCACCCTCATAGCATCTACCGAGCAACATGCTTAAACAGCAGCTTGATTTTGTCGTTTCCAAGGATACGGGTCTCCTTCTCTCCCAAATTCTAAAACCCCGTTATTACAGGAACCTTGAGAAGGAATCCCCAAGTTTTTGCAAACCCCGTTTCAGAAGGTTTGAGACCTGATAAGGAACAAGAAAACCATTAAACAATCAGAGAATGCTTAATACTTAGCCCACAATCCGCATGTTTGCCTTTGTTTGCGTGTAGATCTTGAAGGTAGACTAGCTGGAATGCACTAAGATAGCTACAGGACAGGCGGGTTGGTCACAAGCAATACTCTTCGACTCCATCTTTGGGAGACACCCACCTGCCAAGCAGCAAATTGACGGGAGCTACTCTGAGTTGCAGTCCTATGTCTGCACATCTTCACATAATGCAGGTCCTGCTACTCATCTGCCTTCCCGAACTACACAGTTGTTTCGGCTCCTCTCCGCAGCACGTTGCACCTCACTGCCAGATGCACGAGATCCCCGGCCCGTACTGGTAAACCGCTAATAACCCCCTAAAGTGTTTGCCTAGTTGGTGATACTACGTACCCCTGACCTCCTACGTAGTCCTTCGTTGGGTAGTAGGTACCGAAAAAATGCAAAACCCTCATGAAAAACTGCGTAGGGCCCCCCGGATGGAGTTGTGATTCTCACTGTGGGGAAGATCTAGAATCCATACAGTGGAGGGAGAAATCCCTAAACCCTAAACCCTTAAACCCTAAACCCTTAGACCCTAAACCCTACACCCTAAACTCTAAACCATAAACCCTAAATCCTAAACCCTAAACAACCCTAAATCCTAAACCCTAAACCCTAAATCCTAAACCCTAAACCCTAAACCCTAAAAACCCCTAAAAACCCCAGACCGTACAGTGGAGGGAGAAATCTTGCAGAACCGTGAAGGATTCCAAGCCCAGTGTGTATACATACCCCAGGAATTACCATTTTATTGTGGAGGGGCCTGGGTACTCGAAACCCCAAAGTCTACACCGCATCCACGAAAGTGAGGATGAGGTAGTTTGGGGTCAGATAGGCAAAGTTCTGAAGCTCTGATTTCTGGTCAGGGGTCTAGGGTTTATGAATTATCGGCTCCACAAGAAAACGCCGAACCCGTGTACCACCAAATTTAAGGAAAATACCAGGGATGATATTAGCAACACGTAAGACTACAAGCAAAAATAATATCTTATCCTAATTAACAGTAACAATCATTCATAGGCTTTGTTTAGGACTTATAATAAACATTGGGCTCCCAATAGGCAATTCAACAATCTTCAGTTGGCTGAGCTTCTTGCCACGGCGTCGGTGACCACAATTACCCACCTGCTGGGTTATCTTTATCCTGTACTTGGAGGTTCATGGGACTTATTAACTATTATAAAGGTTACCCTATAAAGCCATTTAGGGGGGTCATAAGTGGGGTTATACGCCCAGTTATAAGTAGTTTCTAAGTCTCATGAACCTTCAAGCACGTCCCTAGACTGCCCTCTATACCCCCTTCGAAATACCTTGAATCACGCGAGGGAGCCTGGTACCATTTGGGGCTTCTTCCTCCAAGATTAGGAAGGAAAGTCCCATGTTCGGCAATACCCTTATGAATATACCTTGTGGCTATCAAAAAAGAGTTACAGGGAGGAAAACAAGCACCTGACGAACAAGGTAACGTAAATGTAGTGACGGAAGGGACCATGCAGCAGCTACACTGGTAGGACTCTGGTTGCTTCTCAACTCTCCACCATTCATGGGGTCCCCTAACCCCCCTCTACCAACCCCCTTGCTTTCCACCTCGATAAAACTTACTTAAGGACAATTAGGGCGAATGAAAACATGCTAACACTGATTAAGGGCGAACTTCGGGGGGGGGGTGCGTCGGTGGGGTCAGGGCTTAGCAGAGTTCATGAAACATTCCAAGATGTGACTGCAACTTGGGGAATTAGGGGCTCCACAGTCTACAAATAGGGGTCATATTAGGGGCTCTGTACAAGTATGGTAGAATTATCATCCAGCTGTTCTTGAGTTGGGGCAGTAATTAGTCAAGAGGGGTCCAAATGACCCTCCAAATAGCATTTACGACTCTTCGGACTCAGGGTATTTAACCCGCAGGGTTTAGGGTTTCAGTCAGGTTGAGGGTTTACGTGCTGCGGAACCTTAATGAGACCTGGAAATTGACAGCCGACCCTCGCTAGGTCGGAGCTAGAAAGAGGGAGCATCTTTTTTCTTAGGGTTTAGGATCTCAGCATATAAGGTTGAGGGTTTAGGTGCTGTAGAACCTTAATCAACGCCGGAAATTGACACTCGACTCCTGCTGCATCAGAGGAGAAGACAGTTGTTGCAGCATGAAAGATCACATAGGTTCAACACTTTTTCCTACGAAGCCTAGATCCCAGCCGCCGCCGTCCAACAATGTCCAACTGCAAATCCTTACTTCCTGAACTCCCATCTCTGCCCCATCATTGTCACCCCTAAGGCCTAAACCCTAAAACGCTAAAACCCTAACCCCTTAAACCCTCAACCCTGAAACTTTACCCCAAAACCCTTAAACCCTTAAACCCTTAAACCCTGAAACTTAGTCCCTAAACCCTAAACCCTTACACCCTAAACCCTGAAACTTAACCCCTAAACCCTTCAACCCGTAAACCCTAGACCTTTCAACCCTTAAAGCCTAGACCCCGAAACTTGGCCCCTAAACCTTCCAACCCTTAAACCCTGAAACTTAACCCCTAAACCCTTAAATCCTAAATCCTCGTTGCGGAACCCCAGAGCCACTTGAAGCCTTAGTCCAATCGCCGCGGCATTTGAATGGACTCGCTTGTTGGCCTGATTGCAGGGTTCAGGGCTTAGGGTTCCAGGGTTCAGTGCGGTTTAGGGTTTAGGGGTTCCGGGGTTCAGTGCTTTGAGGGCTTAGGGCTTAGGGTTTAGCATTTGAAGGTTTGAGGCGTCGGAGGTTTAGCATCGAGCTCTTCTACGTAAAGGTCATGAGCCTGGGTACCTAGTCCTCACCCTACTTATCCTACCCCGAGCTGGCCAGGCGTAGGTTACCCCCCTTATACAGGTATACTGGGTTGCTGTTAGGGAACT